TTATAATCCAAATTCTAAAATATATTTTGAACTTAATAATTTATTAAAATATTTAGATATATATTTTAATACAATAGTGGTTACAGAAAATGTCATATATAATGCAAATCATTATTGGTCAAATAACATGTCTCATCTAATTTTTATATGTAAATCAGCAAAAAATTTCATAAAATAATAAAACAAAAAGTATAATCTTTCTTGGATTTTAAATATTGGTCTTTTGGTTTTAGATATTCTTTTATATAAAATTTGGATAGTAATTAAAAATAAAATTTAGAAGGATCTTTATTGTTATTATAATTAGTTTTTCAGTTATATTCCTTATTTGACATATAAAATTAATGTACTAGCAGATATCAGGTTCAGTTGTCATGTCATATAATAGTTTTTTATTTAAATATGCGAACCAAAAATTTTTGTTACTAAGGCAATACAAATAAAATTAATTGATTCTCATAATATCATATAGCATAAGAGCATCGATACCTGGATGTTATTGCTATAAAATAAAAAAAATAGTATATAAAATTTTTAATAAAGCATTTTATTTAAAGCATATATAAATTTATTATATACAAGTTATTTAACAGTATTTATCATTATTGTTATAGCATTTTATTGTTTTATTAAAAATTTTTAATAAAGCATTTTATTTAAAGCATATATAAATTTATTATATACAAGATATTTAACAATATTTATCATTATAGCATTTTATTGTTTTATTAAAAATTTATAGTGATTCGTTATTTATTATTTTTTTTTGAATTTTTTGATTTTTCATATATTATCTAACCAAATTGTAGAAATATAGTACTGAATTCTTGACTAATTTTTTTAATATTATTTGGTTTATTAATTGAAAATAATTTAAATTATACTTTTATGCTCAAAAGTTCTAAGTCGAAACTCTCTATACAGTAATCAATTTTCTATTTCTATATGTTTATCCTTGAATGTTCTACTAACGGGACCTATATCAGCTTATTTTTGATAATATTTAAAGGCTTTGTGTTTGTCCTTTACAATTTCAATTCTATATTAATAATAATGTCAAACATTATGCTATATATTCCATCAGCAGGACCTATATCAATATCTACTAATTCTTGATAATATACATAAGTTTTATGTTTGTCCTTTTTAACTCCAATTACATATCAATATTTACAAATATATTCTATTAATAGAACTTATATCAGCTGATTCTTGATAATATCCGAAGGCCTTGTGTTTTTCCTTTTCAACAATCCAACATTATGCTGCATATTCCATCAATAGGACCTATATTAGCTAATTCTTGATAATATACAAAAGTCTTATATATGTCCTTTCTAACTCCAATTCCATATTAACAACATTGTCCAATATTATATATTACATCAGCAAGACCTATATCTGCTAATTTTTGATAATATATAAAAGTCTTGCATTTGTTCTTTTAACTTCAATTCTGTATTAACAACATTGTCTAATGTTATATATTACATCAGCAGGACCCATATCTGCTGATTCTTGATAATATATGAAAGTTTTGTATTTATCCTTTCAATTTCTATTTCATATTAACAACATTATCTAATGTTATATATTAGTGATTTTTGATAATATATAAAGATTTGCATTTGTCTTTTTTAACTTCAATATTATATATTTCATTAGCAAAACCATATTGGCTGATTTTTGATAATATCAGAAGGTCTTGTGTTCATCTTTTTCAACTCCAATTCCATATTAATAACAATGTCCAACATTATACTGTATATTCTATTAGCAGGATCCATATCTGCTAATTTTTGATAATATTCAAAGGCCTTATATTTATCTTTTTCAACTTTAATTCTATATTAATAACAATATATAACATCATATATTCCATCAGCAGGACCCATGTCTGCTAATGTTTGATATTATTTGAAGACTTTGCATTTGTCTTTTTTAAAAGTCATAAACATCAGAAGCTAGTATAAGCTTTTGACCTAGTAAAAATACATGTACTAATTATATTTATGAATTTACATTATATTATAATTTATAATATGTATGGTAATCTTATATATGTTAATATATAAAAAATTTAACAAAACTAATTTTATTTATATATATAGCCTAATTAAAATTTTGTATTTGATTTTAGAATAATTAATTTGAGGAAGCATTATCAATTTTTCATTTTTTTGATTTTTTTTTTGTTTATTTTGACATTTTTGTTGTTGTAAATATATATCTACAACAATATTTTAAGCACGCTGACCTGATGTATTTCGTCATTCTGATTTTTCAATATCTTGTTTGTAGATATTTTGTAAACGTCTAATACCATGATCATAACATTCAAATAAATTTTGAAATTTCAGATCAGTATTTTGTGATGTTTTATTAAAAAGTTAATGTTTAGTAGGATCTGGTAGATTAAATGCTTCTATTAATTGATTTGTTAATTTTTGAAGTGCCTTATCATAAGATTTAGTAGCCTGGTCAACTGGTACTAATAAAGGTTCATCAATATATTCACTTAAAACTAAATCTAATCATTCTTGCTCAACTAGTATAGAAATAATCTTTGATTTTAAATCTTCTAATAATCGAAAAATAGAACTAATGTTTTGTTTAATAAATTTAATTTTGAATCTTTCAATAGCCTTATTATATGCAAAATAGTGACCAGGGCATGTTAAATTTACTGATCCAACATAACTAAGAATTTTTTGTAAAATAGGATTTTTTCAATAAATGCTAAAAAATATATAATGGATTGAGCATAATTGCTATGTCATACTATAGGAAAGAGTGATGCAAATGCAGAAAGATTTTAATTTGCATATCATAATTACTATGCCGAATTCTAAGTTTATGACCAATCCATAGACCTGCCCAACAATAAAATAAATACCAAACTTTTACTACATTATTGTTTTTATTCATAATACTATCTAAGGTTTTATTGTGAATTTTTACATATTGACTAAGAGCACTATCTACAGCAATTCAAATTAATTTTAAAACATGACAAGTAGCAGTGTAATCAACAACTTTATCTAGTTTTTTAAATATGTTACACCTAACTTAGCTGCTAAATTATATATTCTGTATCTAGAAAAAAGATGAAGTAATGTAGCACACATTATTTTTGATGTATGCCAACTACCTAATATTAAATTTATTTCTGGTTTATTTTCTTGTAATTTTACAAGTTGTCTAAAAATGGCTTCATCAGATACTAAATATAAATATCTATTGCAATCAAGACCAATATTGTCATAATACATTTTTGCAGCATCATGAACATTTTCATCACTACATGGATTTTTTTCAGGTTCTAAAATAACTACATTTGGTACATCTACATTACATCCTAATTGAATATCCTTTTATAGTTTTTGCCAAAACTCATAAACATTAGGACAATTATTACCAAAATCTAAAAACATGTTAAAAATATTTTTATATTTTCGAAGCTCATTTGTTGTAAAATTTGACATTCCAACTTCAAACTTAAATTCAGAAACAGAATTACATTCTGCAGCAATTTTAGACAAAGATTTCAGTAATTTGAATTGAAAAACTGTTCTAAAGGTAGCATGCGCTGTATGTTTTGATGAATCAAAAATATTATTATAAGGAAATATGCTTTCTTTTATATCAATATTGTCTACTATACATAAGTTCCAAATATTTTCTCCATGTAGAAGTCTTTTTGAGATATCAACATTATTAGATCTTTGTCTTTCTAATTTTCTTTCATACTGATTAGTATATAAAACTATATTTGCAGTACATAGTATAGCATATAATGAGCTTAATAACTTAGGTTTTCAACAAAGTGGACTCATAATATGTAAAAACCAAATGTTGATACTAGGAAATGCTATAGAATATATTAATGACAATATGAAGGTTGAAATTTTAATTGCCTTAGTAGTATCAAATTCCTTTAAAATAAGCTTACGCTGTATATGTTTTTTTTGTACTATCTCTTATTTTTTTTGTAAAATAAAAATGATTAAATTATTAAATAATTCTTTTATCATTTTTGGAAAACCATCATGAAACTCTTGAAAAGTATCAGGTATTTCAAGTGCTTTCTTTTGCAAAATCACCTCAGATCTTGATCGCCAAACAACTGTCTCTAAAGCTTTTCTTAGTTCTTGTGGCTGATTTGTTATAAAATCAGTAAATCTACTTTTTTCTTCTAATTGATGTAAATTTACTTTTTTTATATGAAGTGCCGCTCTAATTCCAAAGTATGTTGGTGGCTTTGCTTTAGAAATTAGATTTGTATCATCATTATCTATTGAATTTTTAAATAAGTCTGGTTTTTTATTCAAAAATTTAATGATGGCTGACCAAACTTTCTCTAAAAGAATAGCTTGTAACTGCTGATTTTGATTAACTGCTATCTCATAAATCCATCAGCTTAATAAATGAAATGAATGCTGATTGTCGTTCTCATACATTTTAATACAAGAAAATACTAGAATGCCTTTTTTTCTTTGCTAAAAAAAATGACCACTTTCACTATCAAAACAATGTGAACAAACATATTTTGATCATGTTTGACTTGTAGAAGATTTGATAAATTCATTATTTTCAATAAATGCAAGGCAAATTTTTAATCCAGCACATGGTATATTAATATTTTGCCTGAAGATTTTCTATAAATGTTGAGTGTAGCACCTTCCTCAGCTAAAGAAATATTTGTCAGAATTACAAAACATACACATTCACTTATGAGTCCAACTTTTTGTAATTGATATATTATGCTTTAATCCAACTTTGTGAAGTTTATTCTGATCGAAACTAAAATATGTTGAACATACATTTAAAGAAGTTAATGCTTCTACTATTCCTGATTTGATTACTATATCTATTGCATCAAAACTTAATTTCCAAATTCTTATAAGTTGTTTAATAGACCTATATACACTGTTTGGACAACATTGAAGATGTCCATCTATATAATCAATAATTACACATTGACTATTGCTTTCATTAATATTAGTTTCTCCTACTTCATAATCGACTATATGACTTTTATCTGTAGTTGAAGTCCACATAGACTCTATCTCTGATGATGTATTAGTATTTAATGCTGTTCAATCAATGTCTATTTCAGTTTGTTTAAAATCTTCAGAATCCTCAAAAGTGGTGGCTACTAAGTTTCTTGCATGGTTTAATGCAGCTTTATCAAAAATAAATTCTTTAATAATATAATTATTATCTGAAATTGTACTTTCTGTTGTAGTGGTTTTTGGTAATGACGGTATTTCAGATACATTTTTAAGATAACTTTCATTATCATCAAGAAGTTCATAATTGATATTAGGATCATTACATTCAAAATATCCTTTATTTGCATACTCAAGCAAGTTATTCATTCTATATTGTAGGATTCTGAAATTTTATAAAATTATTAAAGCAAAATAGATAGTTTGATAAAAATTGAAAATTTGAATATTGAAACTTTCATCAGATATTAATCAAGAATACTACCTTTTTATTTTTAAATTGCAAATAATAATTCTTTAAAATATAACAAACATTTGTAATAGATATATTTATAGTAGGTTTCAGAATGAATATTAAACTTAATATTATCTGTATATTGATATAGTGTCGAAGAGAATTCTAAAAATATATAACATATTTTTAAGATTTTTAAAATAGCTCATTATAAATTGCCTTAACATAAATTAAAAATGTTCAACAACTCTGCCAATTTTTTTTTTAATATGTAAAATTAAATCTAACCTTTAACCCTTTTATAATGTTATTAAATACAACTTATTACCCCTAAAAAGATTTAAATACAATATTATGAATTATTTTTGATATAAATAGATTAAATTCAATGCATTTTAATTGTTCGAATATTCAAATATTTACAATTTTTGACTAAAAACATTACATGCATCAAGCATAAATAGCATATACATAGTTAACTTTAAGCCCACAATCCTTTTAGACAAGGGCATGTATGTAAGTATACCTTATTTGTATGTGAAAACAGAGTTTCAAAGCTTATAACTATACTAGTTACACTGTCAGGTTTATTCAAGCTAAAGGTATAATGCAAAAAAAAATCACATCAAAGCATCTTTTTTCATATAAAAATCTCAAAAATCGTATTTTAGATCAATATGAACATGCATCAGGTCATAAGATTTGGGGACATTTCTACTGATCAATAGATCTAATAAGTTTAGATCATTATATTATTAAAATATATAGTTTAGTAACTTTGGAGAATGGATCTATAATTTGAAAACAGATAATTTTTATGAAAAAGCTTAGTATAGTAATGTAGCAGTTGTTATAAATTCTGAAGAACTATTTGAATATTTATCAGATCAAAAAATTTGTTATAAACAGGTATTTTTTAATATATTTTAAATTTTTAAATTTTTTAAAAAATTAACTTAAATTTTTAATATTTAATTTCAGATATATTTATTAATAAAAGTTGAATCTAACAAAAAAATATTAAATTTTGCATTAATTCAATAGTATGATTTTAAATCTAAAAAAATCTATATTATTATAAATGTTCTAAACTTTAATTAACTAAATTATTTAATATAATTAATATTAAAACAATTAAAAATCAAGTTTAAAAAAAATTGATGATCTTTCTTTCTTGACCACTTGCATATAGAATTAAGAGTAATTTAAAAGAGACAAAATTAATCTATCTAAGAGCTCTTTTCTTTTTAAAAACAGTATCAGAACAGGAATACCTCTTCTTATTTCTAAGAAATATAGTACTTCAACTATTGAAGCTTCCAAATACAAAAAAACTAAGCTTAATAATTATGCCAATATAGAAAAACTTATTACACATAACAAAAAAGTTTCTCACTCTAAAAAAAATACTACAACAGCAAGCAATTATCTAATAGCTTTGGTAACTTCTGCACAACTAGACACCAATAACAAAAGCATACTTAGTTGGGATGAACAAGTCTTGCTAGATATACAGAAAGTTTCTTCAAAAGTAAAGAAGACCAAAACAATGAACTAGACATGTCTGATTACAAAATACATACTAAAAAACCTAACAACAATGAAAACTTAGTATCAACAACAGCAATATGCATAAATCCATATGTGATGCCATTAATCAACTTGAATTTAACTAAAATAAACAAAAACAAAGAAACTTTAAACAAATTTTGGACAAGTCTTTTTGCAAAAGTCAAAAAAAAACAGTCAACTTTTTCTTCTTTTTCATTAAAAAATAATATAAAATTAAAAAATAATAATGCTTTTATTCTAGATATTTAATATCTAACTGGCTCACTAAACAAAATAATAATTTCACTTCATGAAACTGCAAGGCATAATATAATAGCAGCTAAGCTGCATATTAACAAGAGTACATATACTTACTTGAAATTAGTTTTTTCAAATAAGAAAAAACTGAAGCATTATACTTCCAAAGAAATACAAATTTTTAATAAAACATATTATAGCTACATTCCTTCTGATACAAGAAGATCTTTTCTTCTAATCAAAATCAGAAATGTTTCATTAGGTGACAAAAACTTCATCTCAGATGAAATTAGAGAAACCTTTGATAACATAAACAAAATTTCTTTAATTAAACCACTTTTAATTAGGAGTACATCATATTTAACAGATCAATGAATTATCACATTTGAAACTATGAATGATTTAGAACTAGAAGAAAGAATTCCATAATTCTATATTCTTATAAATAACAAAATTATTACAGAATAGCTCTCCACCCCAAAACTCTGCTTCTTCTATAATGAAAAAGAACATATTAAAAAAGAATGTCCTTAATATTTACAAGCTGTCAAACTTTGATTACAATATAAAGAGTATAATACAAACAAGAAAAAAAGTAAAACTATTTCTTATAAAAAAGAAGAAGAAAGTTTCAAAGCAATAGAACAAGAAATCCTTATAAAAGATCTAAATATGGATATAAATTAAACTGAAGAAACTCTTTTAGCTGATTCAAAAAAAATAACCAATTCTGAAAAAGTTAAAAAAAAGGTTATAGAAAACCTAGCAACAATAAAAGAAGATCTGAAAGTTTTTTATAATAAAACTCTAAGTAATGTCAATAAAAAAAACCTTTTTATCAACAATGGTTCTAGTATTATTATTACAGAATTAGAAGAACCTCAAGCTTTGAGTTCTTTTTTAATACTAATTGCAAATAACATCAATTTGCAATCTTATTTTAACATTGCTAAGAAGAAATTCATAGTTGTTTCATATAAAAGAAAAAAAGCTAAGAAAGCTTCTACAAAACAAAAGACTAAGCCAATTAAAAAGGCTCTATACAGAAATCCTTGTAATAAAGTACAGAATTTACAGATCTAAATCTGTATTACTATGCAATTTTTTATAACCAATTACATTAAATTCAAAATAATAACTCTTAATGTAAAAGGGTTGAACAATTAACAAAAACAACAGAACACTTTAACTCTTTTAAAATCATATAAACTAGACCTAATTATGCTACAAGAAACAAATCTAAATGATGAAAATACACAAAACTTTCTCAAAAACCAATGGATATTTGACTTCATTTAAACAAACAAAACAGCTATACTTGCAAGCAACAAAGATATAACCTTTAAAAACATCAAAATAGATCTAAATAATAGAATAATTATCACCAACTTTAAGTACAAAGAGCTTATATTTCAAGTTTCCAACATATACACTCTATCTAGTCCAGGTGACTGAAAACTTTTTTTTGAAAAATGGTCTTCTTATATTAAAGAAAATGCTATTAATATTATCAGAGATGATTTCAATACTAACCTTTATCCAGAAAGAGATAGAATTAGTAAGGCACCTTCACAATATGATACCACAAAAGCACAACTTCAAAATCTTATTAAAAACTTCTTAGATTTTTTTAACTTTGCAAAGACAAAGCCTTTCTATACCTTTTTTCAGAAAACTCAAGGCAATCACACTATGGCTACATATTTAAACTATATATTTGTTGATGAAAACAATGCTTATTTAATCTTAAAAGTTAATACAAAATTTGAAAACTCAGACCATCTGCTAGTTAAGTACATTTTAAACTTCAACCCTAAAGGCAAAGAATCTGCTCTCTGGAGGTTCAATAAAAACTGTTTTAGGAATGAAAGACTAAAAAAAGAGATATTAGATGAAACCTTAGATTTAGAAAATGTGGAAGATTGGTTTTACAAAGTACATATACAATCTATTATTAGAGCCTTTAGAAAACCAAGAGCAACAGAAAACAAAATCATAAAACTAAACAAAAACATTACTTAACTAAAAGAAAAACTAGTACATAATCCTGAAAACAGCTATCTACATTTACAAATTAATATACTAAACTTAGACCTTTAAGAAGAACTATCTCAGTTTGCTAAAAAATAGCAAACTTGTTCTAAAGCCCAATGGATCGAACAAGAAAAGAAATTTACAAAATATTTCTTTACCAGATATAAAACAAGAAAAGCTAGCTCTGCATTAAAGAACATTAAAGATCCTGAAGCTTTACAACAAACAAGAGAAAACACTCTTTGCTATATAAGAGAAAAATATGCAAAAATCTATAAAAAAGAGAATATAGATATTAGCTCAGCAAAAAAAATTACTAAAAACCTGCTGCAAGTTTTCTCTACATATAACTTGTCTCTTATTTAAGAAATCACACAAAAGAAAATTAGCAATATTATTAAAAACCTCTTAAACAATAAGACTTCTAGCACAAATGGATTAACATATGAGTTTTATAAACTTATTAAAGAAGTAATAATATCAGTTCTTTATAATATCTTTAACTATGCTCTTAGCTCAGAAGTCATGCCAACTTTTTGATATAAAAGTTTAATTTTACTAATATCTAAAAAAGCAAAAAATCTTAAAGATGTAAATTACTGAAGAATAATATCACTAGTTAATAATGATGCCAAAATTTTTATAAAGATCTTGGCTAATCATCTCAATTTTATATACAAGAAGATAGTACCTTACCAACAACATAGATTTATTAAAAATAAATCTATCACAGATGCAGCTCTTGATATTATTACTACTATAAGAAACCAAGTAGACCCTTCTAAACAATATTGGTTACTTTTTATTGATCAACAAAAAGCATTTGATCATATTAATTATGATTTTTTAAAACTAACTTTGAAAAATATAAACTTCAATCACAAATTCATAAGCCTAGTACATAATTTTTTTTCTAATCAAAAGGCTCACATTATAGATGCTAGGACTATCTTCAGACCACTTAGAGTAGAAAAAGATATTAGACAAAAAGATCCTCTTTCTTCACTTCTTTATATACTAGCTTTTGAGCCTTTTATAAGAAACCTAGAAAGACAATTATAAGATATAAAAT